AAAATGATTCCATAGAATGAAAAATGTATGCAGAATGTTGAACAATTTCAAGCTGAGAATGAAATGTGAAAAACTAAAAAGTAAGCTTTACTAATAACTTATCCCATTGTGATGTAAGTGCATTTCTCTTGGGACCATGATAGTTAACAAGTACCTAATTGTAATCAGAAACAGCTAAAATACTTTTCAGTTTTTGCACCGAGGCCAACCAACTGGATATTGTCTTTGAAAGTAATAAGCATAAAACAACACTAAAGCAACAAAACCCAAAGAGAGAACTAATTTCATACACTGATATGCCAAAAGTTATGGGACGTCAGTATGTAAAGAAAATAGTAGGTATAGCCGCACTCATCACACTTGGCCAAAGGGTGAGGCTATTTAATCCATAGATGTGGAAGTGGCTGTTGATTCAGCGTTTGTTTTTTGTGCTGCTAGGGTTCCACTTACTCTCCTCACTAGACCAGGGTCTGGTAGGGGAGCTGGTTTAATCACTGACCACTCAACCATCACATCAAGGAAATGTCCAGATCTATATCAGTTGTGCTCTGGGATCTGGCGAGTCAGTGAGAATACCAGTTTGGCTGCACATGGCAAGGCGATATTATTGGAGTTCAAATGGATGGGAAATTCTATTTCTGAACTTGTAGAGACATTTGACATTCCACAATCTATGGTGTCACATGTGAACCAGAAATAACTGATGGAAGGTATTACTGTCTACCATGGGCACTGCAATGGCTGACCCTGGTTCCTTAATGATTGTGACCAGAGATATCTGCAGTAACAGACAAGCAACATTGGTTCTAATTCCATCCAGATTCAATGCAAAAAGTACCAGACATGTCCAGTAGGTCAGTTCAGCATTATTTAGCTTCTATGGGAACTGGAAGTAAAACACTCATTAGAATTCCTTTGTTAATACTATGACAATGTACACAGCAGTTCACTTGGGCTTGCAGCACTGCCAACTTAACCATGAAGGATTGACAATATGTAATACGGCCTGAAGATGCATGTTAACAGTTGTTTTGGCCTGATGGTAAGCTTTGCACAAACCCTATGAGACTATGACCCCCTACTTGTCAATAAGGCACTGTACAGGCTGGTGATGGTTCTATAATGATGTGGGATGTGTTTACATGGCATGTGATGGATTCACTGGTCTACTTAAACATGTCAATGACCAGAGATCGCTAGGCTGTACTGCTTCCTGACCATTTGAACCTATTCACAGATTCTATATAACCTGATAACAATGGGTTGCTTATTCCAGTAGGAAAATGAACAGTATCATCAGGTCAAAGATGCCCAGAATTGGTTTGAGAAGCATTCGCAAAACTTCCAATGAATGGTATGGCCATTTCAATTCTAAGGAACCCAATCAAGGGTTTGTTGGATGGGGTAGAGGAGTTTATTTACAGATTCTGCACATATAAATATCAAAGAACTTTAAACTTTTATTGCAATGACATAGCTTTTATTTCCCCAGCAGCAACTAAAATTAATAGCACTTACAAACTCAAAGAGAAAATGGCATAATAAAGATGTTGACATTCTACTCTACTTCAAACAAAAGGTTAGGAAGGAAACCCCCATCAATACTGGAAAGAGCAATAACAGCTGACTTGAGAAATGTATTTTCCTGAAAAATTGTTTTAAGAGAAAGATTTTATAAATTTCAACCAAAAGTAGATCTAGCTGCTCAGTCAATGAATGCTGAATTTTTCTGTATAAGGAAACAGCTAATATTACTATTGCCATCTATATTTCTGAGAAGGTATTATGTACACTATTTACATTATTTGAACTATTGTCCTCATCTTTGTCACCATGGCACATGGAACTAGAACAGTCTACCCCAGTGAGCAGAATAAAGGGTTCAGGTTGGCATTCCAACCACCTGAAGAAGGCCAGAGCGTACAACAGTCAAAATGGTGTTATAAACATGGCAACAAAAATGAGGACAATAGTTAGATTAGATAATGTAAATAGTGTAATTAACATTCCCATATATACCAACAGCAATGGGTTGCTCCAGCAGGATAATGCAACATATCATCGGTTGCCAAAGTTGCCCAGAATTTGTTCAAGAAGCATTCTGGAGACTGCCAATGAATAGTATTCACTTGTAATGAATCCAATCAAAGATTATTTATTTTCATATTTTCATTCAAAGGATGCACTTTATAGCTTCTCTTAGGCATGACCAAATTGTCCACATACTCTTGCACTTTGGTACTAAGTAAAACATGAATTATATCTGAGTAATGGATATGGTCATGTAATTTATTGGCACAGGAAGAAGAATTTGGGAACAAAGTTAAAATTCTGGCCAGTCTGTTATGCTCACTTTCACACAAACACCCTTTGGAAATACATTAATCCATCACTTCTGCACCCACCCCCAGCTATGGGTTAAATAGCTAAGTAGACTTGGTTCTCTAGTCTAAAAGAAAGACTACTCTGAATTCAAAATTGTGAAGAAGGAATTGAAAAAATAATTCTTTCCCCAAGAAATTATGACAATCCACAGATTATTATGATGATAATAATAATAATAAAAATCTGTGGAAAGTCATGGTCACCTATGTCCTGAAAGGACATGGCATTAAAAAAATAACTGATATTGCATGTAAGTAGGGTCTGCTGGATTGTTTGAAACAAAGATGAATCTGCCAAATTCGCAACATTTTTGTTTGTGATTTCCCTAAATAACTAGTATGCCATAAAAAATAGAGAAATGAGAAGCTCCTGACAGTTAATGCCTGTGAAAATGAATCAAACAATCATGATAATAGTAATCAGAGTCAAGCTTGTTCATTGCTCTTAGGATCTTTTCTAATAGAATATTAATTCATCTATTTCTGTTATCTTTTTCATGCTTAGTGTTTGAGATGACATCAGTTGAGAAGCAACACTGAAAGAAAGTGAAAAAAGACAAACAGAAAAAGGGGAGATAACTAACTTGTTTTATTTACTCCTCACTTCTATTAAAGTCTGCAAAACATTCTAGAACTGAAGGGAAATTATTGATGTTTTTCAGGAAAATAGGTTTCACAAATCCATTGTTATCACTCTTTCCAGTATTGATGGGGGGCTTTCTCCCTAACCTTGTTTCAAGTAGTGTGAAATATCAACAACTCGATTATGTCATTTTTTTTTGCTTAAAATTTCACATGCTATTCATTTTAGTTGTTGCTATTGTTGAAAGTGTTGTAATTTCTGCTATTTGGTCATTCTTTGTGATTCTGTAGTTCCAGTCCATGAGGTATAAAGAATGATGGTCCTTGCTGAAACCTACTGAAACTTGGTGCTCTCATTACCTCCTCCTTTTTCTCATGTGATGGTTTGAAATATTTCTTTATTGGGGTCCTCACCAAACGTATGAATTTTTTAAACCAATATAGTTTCTCTATCAGATCTAGACATTCAGCCGGGTTAGAGCTGAGAAGGCAGCTTCTAATGGATGAGAAGCTGAAGTCTATCAGTGTAATTATATGCTGCTGTGACGTTGACTTGGCAGTTATATAATTTCCTATTGGAAAAGGGTATGCAATTTTCTGGAGTTGTTTGATGAGATATATGCCATCATTACACTCCTTACAAGAACAAAACAGATTGTGAGGAGTTGAGTTTGAAAAAATGATGAGAGTCTGCTTAATACAATGTTCATCAGTACTTTTCCCATAATGGATCCAAAGCAAAAATTCTACCATCATCTTTTAGATCAGAGATTATAGATAATAACTCAAATTTTCCTTGCCAACCAATTAGTGGAGATGCAAGCTAACTAGCAATGGCTTATGATATTAACTTGGTAACCAATGCTCTATAACTGGTGTCCTATTTCTTTAGGATTGTCTACACTGGGAAAAGATTCAAGATTACCAAAATGGAGCATTCAGTGTGCACCAAACTCACAACCAATTGTACTTGTAGACAAGATTGCTAATCATTGCTCCTTGGTAGATATCCTATTTAGTAAAGTTAGTCTAGAATGACACAAGGTCAGAACAGGTCATCCAATGGATTATAAGACTAACTTGCGCCCTACTCTGGTATTGTAATATTGTTGAGGAGAAACCTAGAAATTAATTTGTAAAAGTGTTATATAGGAATAAAATGTTGTTGCTGATATTTGAGTTTAAACATAGATTGGCAGTGAGCAAACACAGGTGATCCCATTATTGAATGAAGTAGACCATGTGACCATAGAGGAAAGACATAAATCGGAATTAGCTTTGTGTCTAAATGATCCCTATTTCAATTCTATTCTATATTACTATTCAGATCACTATTTCTCCTCTATCACTATATGGACCACTATTCTCTACTCTATTTACTATACTATTCCTCTATTCGGATCACTATATGGATTATTGTTCAAGTGAGTATTATTAAGCAAGTACTATTAGCAAGTGTTATTCGAAGGCATGTGACACCAGCATTGTTCAACGGCGTTACTATAGTTGTATCTGCGATTACAAAGTCTCTACTACAACGAGCATTACGAAAGTGACAACAAGTATTCATTGACATCACAAAAGTGGCAACAAGTGTTTGTTGACATCACAAATAAAAGCTAAATAATCATAATATAGCCTTAGCTCAACAACTTTCAAAGTCTTGGCAGGGACAAATTCTTGAAAAACAATGTCCTTTATTCCCCATGAACATTTTACATAGTGTGTGAACTTGATTTGATTTTCATCAAAAGGTTCCATATTGTAGCTCTTCCAATTAACTTAATGTACTTTTGTAAGTTATCACATATGTTTAACCACTTAATGAATTATATCAATTATTCTTGTTGAAATTTTCCTAATTTAGGTGGGGTTATGCAGAAAATTCATTCTAATAACAGTGAATAGAAAATCAAAAGTTTTTGTAATAGAGCAATGTCAAGTAACATATTCAGATAATGGTTCACTAAATCAAAGTGATGACGATCCTTCAGAGAACAAAGCCAAATCCATTATAAACGCTCGGCAAATTTCCTAATTTGGTAGCACTGGAAAAAATGAAAAGAAAACATGTACATATTTCCATGTTTCACAAATTCACAAAGTTATCAATGTAACATGATTTCTGATCAATTCTCCTTGTAAAGGCTCTATAATGGTTTTAAATATTTCACTCTTATTTTTCATCAGCTCAGTTAAAAAAGAAAAAAAAAATGGTTTCCCAATTTGTTACTACAAACGAAATATCCCAGGATTATCTTCTACGTGTTCATTTCTGCATGATTTTCTTATCATAAGATTCAAAACACACAAAAAATTGACTAAGTATATTGAATATTTGAATAAAAATTTAGTTCAAATTTAAACAATATAAAAAAAAAATTTTTTAAACTCCTTAAGCAATTTAATTTTTTTTTAACTATGCAATAAATTTAAAGTGGATTGTCTCTCTTAGAGTTTATCACTACGAAAATCTGCACATTGAATATAATGAAAATTTTCTCTGTATGTGACATTTTCTACTTATGTTCTCCATAGTCAGTTTATTTGCATATCAATAAAATGTGCAATATTAAAATAAACATTGACTTGAAAGCTTAAGAAATAAAACAGAAATATCCCCCAAAAATATATATAGGAAAAGCAGTTTTAAATAAGGTATATTTTAATACAATATTCATAAAAAGGATTTCTGTGCTGAAAAAGATAAATCATATTAATATTTGTCTCTTGAATGTTTGCTAAAATCAGATTTGCTGCTGTGTTTTCGTTCCCTGTCTTTTGATGAAGTTTTTTCATAGTCTCGGTCACGCTTACGGTCAGGTGAGTAATCTCGTCTGTCAGATGAATGGCTTCCACGATTGGGTCCTCGAGAAATGGGAGAACGGCTGCGATCCCAGTTTCCTCCTTGCTTGAAACCTAATTTCAATTTTGACCTATCTGGTGATGGAGAAGATTTCCGACGTTTCTCTGTCTGACCAGAATTGCCTTCATGTTTTGATTTCGATGAAGACTTCTGAAGTGAGAGAAGGAAAAAGTAAAAAAAAAAAAAAATAATTAAATACAAGATTTTTCTGTAATGCTGACATTTGAATACTACTTCTGTCCCATAAAAATTACAATACAATCTGAAATATGTAAATGTATCAGCTATTATGGGACGGAGGTAATAGAAATTAGAAAATATAGAGAAATCAATTAATAACAATTCAAATCATACAATAAATATTTTCATTATTTCTGGGAAGAGAAGATACTTTAGAATCTAAAACCACAAGATCATGAATTCACTTATTGAGAATAAAGTACTACATCTGTCCCATAATAGTTGTACCATTTAGTAGATAAAATGTCTTCACAAATGCAACCATTATTATGAGACCAATGATAGTTTCTATAAATACAGTAATGAGGGAAATTTTCCCTTACACTGTTAAAAAATATATATATATATATATATATATATATATATATATATATATATATCTATCTTACTTATTATAAAACGCAGGTTGTGTGTGTAACGTTTATATGTTGGATCGAATTTCCTACATTTTTTAGCCGATTTCAACAAAACTTCACAGGACTACATAAAATTATCTTTTTGGTGGTTCTAACGGCCGAAAATGGGAAAAAAAACACAGTTGTTTTTAAGAAAATCAATTTGAAGACACGATTAAGACACATTGTGAGAATGAAAGGGGAGAACTCACCCACGAAAATGTAAACAAAAGAGCATAGCATGATGAAAAAAGACTCCGAACTTGACGAAAACAAAATTTTATCATCTAATGTTCATATTATTATTAAAGAGGAAAGATCAAAGTATTCTGGGGGTATTTTTTTTACATTTTTTAATCGTTCCTAGCACATCTGAAATTTTCGTTAAAAATATTGTTTTATCAATTATCATTTTTTCAAAACTGATTTTAATAAAAACAGATATTATACTGTTTATTTAAAATATTTTGAACCAAGCTTAACTTAGCTTCTGCGCCGAAAAAATGTAATTTGAAAATAAAACAAAGCAGGTCATAACCTTTCACGTCGCTTGACGAAAGGCACATTCATGACGTTTAGATAACTTACAGGAGGGTAATTCTTTCTACGGATGGAAGGAAGTGAAATTATTTAAGTGAACAAATTATTTACCTCGTTACTTTTAAGGAAAACTTTCAGCGCTCTAATTTTTTATTTTTTTTGTACTTAGCTTTCATTTTTACGTTTACGATGCTTTATGGAAAATATAAAGAAATTAAAAAATAAGACTGTTAATAGTGAGATTAAATTTCATAAGAAAAAGGTATCTAATTAATTTAGGTACCTTTCTTATGAAATTTTATCAGAAGTGTACATAAAATACTATAATTTTATGTACATTTATTACATTTTACTGTGTTATTTGTATTTCCATTCATTTTATTATTAATTTTGATATTTCATTTATGGAAAAATGTCATAACTGAGATTAATATAAAAATATGGTCATATAAATTAAAGTTTAGCAGTAGTTAAATTTCATAAGATGATACAGTTACTTGTAGGTACCCTTCTCAGTTGAAATTGAAAACTCAAATTAACTTCTCCATACGTGTTTTCACTTAAAAAGTAAAGGGCTTAACAGCGGAGAACAATGCTGAACTCAAATAATGCAACTAAATTGTATTCTGATTGGTCTTCCGTGCTTGATAATTACTGTCCGACTATAAACACAAAAAATTACATTTTCTTAATTACCATGGCTAATCTGATTGGTCCAAATTATACAATTTTCAAAAGCTAGACAATGACAATCTCACACGGACATTTTGAAAGGTTGATGTTGCATTTAACTAATGTTAAAATATTTTTAAAATTCAATATAAACATTTTTAAAAATCTTTTTAAAATTAAAGAAATAAGAAATAAGAAATAATTGTATTAAAATTCAAAAAATTTTTGCTTCCAGAAAAATATTGTCCATATTCATAAAACAAATTAAAACAAATAAAAGCATTTGCAACTAAATAATATATTTGTTTTATTGAGTTTTGTATGTTACAATTCACAGCTGATTTTCAGGTACGTTGTAAAAAAAAAAATACATGATTTGCATTCTTCAAAGCCTTGTGCTTTTAACTATTGTAATCACTAAAACCGATGGTCTCGAATTTCTAGAGTTTTTTCATAAAATTAGTTATGGGGTGTTAATAAATATAAAAAAAATATTTCTGCCATGACTTTAAAAAAAAAAAAAAACATATTTATAATAATTTCGATCATCTGTGAATAGTTTCTGAAAGTTTCATTAACATCTGACAATTATTTTTATTTTTGCAAGATTTTCCAAATTAATGTGTGTAAATACAAAAAAAACTTAAAAAATTATCTATGTTATTTCCTACAAAAAGAGAAACAAGGTTTTTAAATCAAAATTTAGAATATTCTAAAAGATGGAAAAATTTTAAAAATAAAAAAAAAATTTAGTCTATCCTCTTCATAAAAACATAAGCATTTTGACGATAAAATTTTGTTTTTTTTCATAAACTTTAGCGTCTTTTTCATCAGACTATGCTCTATGTTTTAGCGATTCCGTGGAGTGACTTAGGTTAAAAAACCCAGGTTGTTTTGTTTGTGTGTGTGTGTGTGTGTGTGTGTGTGTTCCTTTATATATGGGATGGATTTTCTTACATTTTGCAGCCGATAAAACAAACATCCACTTTCTTTTTCGGCAGGTAGTATTTCTTATTGTCTTGCACACTTTTTCTTTATTTACATTCAGAATGCTTTAAAAATTCCATTTACAAGACAATTGTTTATAATAAAATTCTATTCACCAATCGATAGACTCATAACGATTGTAAACAATGTTTTTGTTTGAGTTTGGGCTTGGGTTTGACCAATTCGTAAAAAAAAAAAAAAAAAAATTAAGTGTCCGTCAACCTTAAACAATAATCTTTGTCAATTTTATTTTTCAGTCTTTATGATGGTCGATACTTGATCTATCTCTTACTGTTACATCCCCGGGCAACGCCGGGCTCTACTGCTAGTATATATATATATAATCATACCCAGGACGTGGGTAAGGTCTGGAAAAAACTGGGAGTTCACTATTTGCCCATAGCTGGGACCCCAACAGGTGCTACCAACCTGAGTCAGGGTGGACCTGGGAACACCAGCAATTAAGAGGTGGTTCCACACTCCTCAAAACCTCCTGATCAGAGGCCTTGCTGTTGGATGCAGTTTAACGTCATACCCAGGACGATCACAAATTAGGCTGCAAAAGTTAAACAACGTATGTTATTAAAATCTAGTCATAAATTTTAAATTCTTTGTTATGTGTTTTCCTCTTTGATGTATTTTTGCTTTTATTTACACCATGTAGCAGTAAGTAGTCAACTTCATTAAAATTTTTCATTAACTTGATAATAATTAAAAAAACAAAAATGCTTACTTTAGAATGTTTTTCACTGACTGATGACTGGTTACTGTCATCATCGCTACTTGACTTCTTTTTATGTTTTTTATGCTTCTTTTTCTTTTTCTTCTTCTTGTCTTTCTTTTTCACCTTGGGAATCTCAGCATCACTGCAAGGCTTGATACTCTCTTGTTCATCCTCTTCAAACACCAAATCATATTTCTTACTAAACAAAGTTAAGGAAGTCAATATGATTAACAACAAACCTAACAATAAATGCTTTATCCAATCATAATTCCAGTTTTAACCTTTTTTCATCATTACACTTATATGTTCGGTTCTTGGTATAATGTTTGCATATCTTTCACTATAAAAATCTTGTTAAATGGAAATCAGTGTTAATAACAAAAAGTTTCAAATATAATAAGAATCTATAAAAATTAAATCTAAAAATTATTTTGTTAATAAAATGGGGAAATTATCTACAATCTGAAAGGGAAGAAAATAAAAGCTTAATTATAAATGATGAAATTAGGGTTATTTTTTTAAATTAATAATTTTAATAATGTAAGGCAAAATCTTTTTGGATCTGATTTTGTAGTGCACATTTTGTAGCTTTGGTGTAACAGCATTAATTCAAATCCCAAATAAATACTACAGCTAAAATATACCTCTAGATGTGAGCAAGCACAGGGAGAATTGTATTCATGCCTTTCTCAGAAATAAGGACCAAATACATGTCAAATCAGCTGGAGTTTTAATGTAGTTTGCTGAATTAATTTTATTTGTTAATAACCATTACAACTTTCACAATGTTGCATGTTGTACAGTTGATGCAAAATCTATTAAAATACAGAATTGATATGTGGCCAAAGTAATCTGCCTATAGAAAAGGTTGACTGTGGCCATACAGAGGTTCATATAATGTATCAATAGGTTTTATCTCTAAAGAAGGTAACAGGATTTTAGTCAGCAAAGTAGTCAGCTAGAAAAATAATTATATCATAATTGGATGAGGGATTCATTTTCTACAGGTTATCAACCATTTGCAGGTAATTTAAAGCCAGAAAATATTTAAAATTTTAAGAATATTTTTTGGAGATAATAATAGTTTATTGATACAAGTCTTACTAATTAATCCATAGCTGGGGGGGGATGGTGGATTCATACATTTCCCAAGGGAATTTGCAAGTAAATATAACCAAATCAACAGAAATTAGAACTTAATTCTCCAAATAACAATTCTGAGCCATTATCCATTATTCCACCTGATATTCCTAAGCAGTCACTCATCTAGGTACTGACAAAGCTCAAATTATTATATCAGAAGCAACCATAACTGAAATTTGAACTCAGTTCACTAATTTAGTTTCTCTGAAAGGATAACCAGAACAATAACACATACCAACATAGGAATTCTATAAATGATAAATTTGGTATCATCTCATTATAATTCTGTTTATTACTTCTTAATTAGCATATAATTTACGTCCTAAAAATACCCTAGATAAACGATGGTCCATTTCGGTTTGATTGCAACGATTGATAGAAGAAAAGATATATCAAAGGTGCTGCTTGGATTTAGGGAAAGGAAGATTTAGTTCATTTGCTATAGAACTTTGGAAGCTTCAAGTATTTCTACAAAATACAATAGAGGCCTCCAAACTTAGCCTGAACCAATATTGTTTTCATCCACATTTCTCTTTTGTCCTGAACCATATCATAGGCTAAAAAAAAAAAAAAAAAAACAGCCAAAGAAATCTTATAAAACTTTTTCCTTTGGTTGACAAAAAAAGTGGAGACCACTGATATAGATTATTGCTTGATTTGAATTTTTGTCAATATCTCATGCAGAAAATAGATGATTGGTTTGGTTTGGTTCATTTTATGGCATATCAATCTCAATGGGTTATTTAATGCCGACATTTTCAGGATAGATTCATATGAATAGAATATGTATTCTTTGATTTAGATTGGTTTGGTTTATTTTGTTTTACAGCAGATCAACCTCAATGGGTTATTTAATATCAACAACATTTTTTATTGCTGCTAATATTTTGTTTTGTCAAAAGTCTGTTTCTGGTAATATTTTTCCTTCAAAATTGTATTGCTGATAATAATTTTTTCAAAAAAGTATTGCTGGTAATAGTTAACTATTTGCCTATAGCTGGGACCCTAACAGGTGCTACCACCCTGGGTCAGGGTAGACCTGGGAACACCAGCAATTAAGAGGTGGTTCCACGCTCCTCCAAACTTCCTGATCAGAGTTTATCGTCTTACCCAGGACGCAGATGTAGTTTAATGTCTTACCCAGGACAAAGAAAATAGATGAAGGTCACCTGAGAAAATGTTTTTCCTACTTGCTTAATCTTAACAGCCCAGCTATGGGTTAAATAATAGAGCAGACTGCACTCTTCAGCCTAGGATGGCAATCAGTTTAGGAAAAGGACAATTTTGAATTCAAAACCAGATGCAGCCCTGGCAAAGAACATACTATACAGCTAATGAAAGGATTTACAATGACTATGATCTTAACTACCATTGGCCTTGATTGATTAGTCTTAACAAAGGATACTCGCTTTTCCAGGATCTGTCTTTTAGAACATACTGTGGTTTTCCATCATATTTGGTCTCAGGTTTTGGATGCTCCACACCTTTCCCTACAAATACAAAAAAAAAAAAAAAAAAAAAAAAAAGGAAAAAAATGTTGAAATAGCAATAATCACCTTTCCAGAACAATATGAACTTCTAAACAAATGATCAAAACTGATTTCCAAATGCAAACACAAAAACAAATTCCTACTATGTTACCTATAGCATTCAAAAGAACTAATTATTATATCCTATAATCTAAATCTAATAAATTTTATTTCAAATACCAAAATTTAGAAGTGAGAAGTAAAAAATAATGAATAAAATAATAACAAATAATTAAAATAAACAAAATTAATGTCAAGACTATAAATAAACTAAAACGTTAGCTTCAAACAAAAAAAACTGGGAAGAGCTGGTTTCTAAAACCCTACCCACTCCTCAGCTTTCCATTGCCCCAACCCCAGTGGCTTATGTATGGAGTCTGCACAAGAAGTAGTGACATATGATCTGAAGGTTACTTGAGGCATGAAACTGACAGACACTATACCTCCACTGTACATATGTGTGTCCATGTAACACATTTTTTGTAATCAGAAAAAGTTCCCTATATAGAAATGGGCATTTATTTACATTTCTGGTGACATGGTCAGCCATCTTTATGTAGTGGGCTGGTAACATAACAGAAAGAGAATTTTATGCTAAACTCTATAAATAGAATTCCATAATTAATGTCAAATAGAATTTTATTTATTTAGTTTAATGTTCCCAAAGTATTGAAGAAACACAAGAAAATACAGAGTAACAAAAGTTTTTGACATTATTTAAATGCAATAAAATTGCAAAACTGCTTAAAATGATTCCAATATTTTTCTAACGGAATGTGTATGTATATATTTTTAGTTGTGTAGCACTTTTCACAGAATTTACAGATACTACACTGATCCTAGGTAAAAATGTTGGTGATAAAAATGCATACCTACAAATCTTGAGCATAGAATATAGAAAACTTTTGATTTCAGTTAAAAGTTGGTTTGTTTTAAGAAACAGAACAGTTTCAAGAAGCAACATTTAAGTAAAAACAATAAACCATGAGACAAATTAGTGGCAAGGGGGGAAAAAAGAAAAGAAAATAATAGATTTGAATCAATAAATGGTTCAGAAAAATGAGAAAAAACGTTTGGTTCAAATTATTTGAAGATTATAGGGACCTCAGTGAATGAAAGTAGTTTTTTTTTTATTTTAATATTTCCTATTTTTTGTTCTCTTTTAATTAAATCAAAACTCAACATATTTTCTAGCTAATTAAATATTAGTATTCAAGCATAAGATATATAAACCTTTTGTGGCTTATCTGTTTCATGCATTCATTCTTAAAAGTTTGTTTCATTCTCAAAAAGCAAAAAATAAAACTGTTTATCTTAAACATTCACATGTGCAATAGAAATTGTATATATGTTACATGTGCATGATATTAAATTTCATTGATTGAAATCATTTAGAGGAAATCAATACTTAAAAAAAGACAAAAAAAAAAAAACGTTACCTTTTCCTTTCCATCTGACTTTGGCAACTGACTGACTAAAGTCAACATGGATTCGACGATCATCAATTAACACATTATCCATCTTGAAATAGGCTTGTTCACAATCCTCAGGCTGAAAAAAAAAAAATTATTTAACACTTTCAAATTATGTCACGTGAAACTTATATTTAAAATACTAAACAAATACCATTCTATTTACTATTAAATAATTACTTCTGAACTTGTGATGAAGAAAAGGTTTACACACAAAATAGCATGTGTGTGTGAAGATGCACATACATTGCCTTTTATATAAATTGAAGAGCAAAGAACTAGAGCAATTTTTTAACTTGAGAACTCAAGTTACAAAAATGCTCTATGTTTTTTCCGCAGGCCACACTAGCAAGCGTATTCCTCGAATATGCAAGAAAGAGACTACCAACAATAGGGAACATTGCATCAATTCTCAGCTAAGTTCAGCACTAGTGCTGATAAGTGCAATGTACAACATACACTGCATTCCATAGGATTTCATAACCGTCAACCAAAAAGGGTAACAATTATTGACATCATGGCATCAGCTGCTGTCCCTCAGCTGCCATTGAACTGTGGAAATCAAATTGTTTCCAGCAAATGCTCAAATTTATGTGTTGAGCAGACAGATCCATATTTTATTGGAGTTCAAACAGACCATTAGATGGTGATCGCTAGGGAATACCAAGTGGTGTAAACTTGGATGTGCGGGTGGTGTAATGGATAATAGCTCAGAATTGTTAATCGGAGAGCTGAGTTCCAATTCCAGTTGAGTTTGTTATATATATATATTTAGGTGCAAATACCTAGGAAAAGGTATGAATCCACCTCTTCCCATCCCAGATATGGATTAATTAGTAAGACTTGTATCACTAAAATCATTATCAAGCCCCACCCAATTTCTTACAATCAAAAAATATTTTGGGACTTTAAATAAATGAGTTGATAAGCTAAAATAAAAAAAAAAAAAAAAAAAATCAAAAAAAAAATCAATAAATCAATCAATTAAAGGACCATTATTGCAACTGAAGACTATCTTGACAGGCAGGTGTGAAATATACAGATCTTGTTGCCGGCCATTTGTACCCCTTTATAACTCCCATATTTCCTGGTTGTTCCACCAAGATAAAATAACCGCTTATTATGAGTGGTTGACATGACATTGATACCAAGAACACTTAACTGATTTCAAGTTACTCTATTGGCTCCCACACCCCCACCAATATTTGTAGGTAATGTAAAAATTGTACTGCTTGAAAATGACAAAGATGGTAAGCACTCAGGAAAAGAGAGCATTGTATGAAATCACATTCTATCAGTCAGTACACTTCACAATATACAATATATTTAAATGAGTTTTGTTATTGTCAATCAGCAGGAATACTATTAATGTCACCACAGCATTGGTTTCTCTGCTTTACCATAGTCACTAGACTGTAGAAAACTGGTGGCTTGTAGCCTGGTCAGATTTATGAGGCTGTGGATACAGCCTGTTAGCAGGGCATTCTGCAAGTTGATGGTGGCACTGTAATGGTGTCAGCTATGTTCTCTTGGTAGATCTCAAAGGTCACTAGTGAAACTGGAGTCAGTTTTAACAAGTGTGGCATAGACAAATCTTGTTTCACACCATCTGTGCTTCTTTATTCTTGCCTCGTTTCCTGATGTTAACGGTTTGTTCCAGTAAGTTAATGCAACTCATTATGCACAGGTGACAGAAAATAGTCCCAGAAATGCTTATTTAACTTTCTAATACTCAACTGGTCCAAATGCTTGTCAGTTTTAAACTTCATTGGGTATGTATTGGACATGCTACAGACTTTCTTAAATTAACCATCAACCACACCCAATAAATACGATTAAGTTATGGACAGCAGTGAAATGTGCCCAGATAGGCATACCCATGAAACAACTTCAGCATGTTACACACACTATGTCAAATTTTCTAGCTACCATTATTCACGTGAAGGTAGGAGTTACATTTTATTAGGTATATGTTTATAATTTTTGGGAACTTCTTGTTTAAAGAGACACACACAAGTTTGCTTTTTAAGTATTTGTGTGAGTTTTTCCTTTTTTGGGATGGTAATCTGACATCTTCACAAATGAGTATTAATAGATGAAAATTTTGATACTTTAAAAATGCTAGAATTTCTACTGAAATAAAGATCTTATAGCGTTTTTTCTCTTATTTTCAATGCTTAAAAATTCTTAAACAGGGATTTATTTCTGATTAACAAAGATTGATTAATGACATGAGAACTTTACTCTCAATATAGATAAAATTTTGTACTCTGGCATTTTTGAATATTTTAACTAAAAGAAAAATAAAACCGGAGGAAGTTTCTAAACAAAATAAAAGCCTACCTTTTCAAATTCAATGAAAGCATATTGTAAAGATTCCTTTGTTTTTTGATCTCGTACTACTTCACAACTGCAAAAGAAAAATTGACAAAAAGGCTATTCATAGAGAATTATTAAACATTTTTAGAATTTGCTAAATGTCAAGGACATACATGCAAAAATATTTACAAAGGAATGAAACAGAAAACAACAAAATGCCAAATCAATCAATCTGAATTGATCTGCAATTTGCTAAAAAAATAATTAAAATAAAAATTACTAAAATTAAGAAAATAATAAACAGAAAAATTGTAATATTTTTTTCAGCAAAGTCAAAACAATATTGTTGACTGTGAAAAATATCTTATTAACTTTATCCATATATAAAAGCTACTCCAAAGAGTACAGGTATATCTTGTGAAAACTGGAAAGCAGAGGCAAAGGACAGAACACACTTCCTTGACAAACAGTTTATTCTATATATATATATATATATATATGAGAGACAGAAGACTCTCCTGCTGTTTTTTGATGTATGAGGGTTCAGCAGCTCAGTTCTTAGAACCAAACAGCCAGACTACTCGCACATATGATTTGATTATAGCAGTGAAGGTTTGCGTACTTTTTGGAAGAGCTGAATACAAAGAACTGGTGTGCAGCCTGCCACAAGGACCCCAAACAACTCTCCTCCAGTTTTGAATTTGAATATTATAGGACCTAGTCTGGTCTGCTATTTACCCATATCTGGTGGGAGAAGAGATAGACCCACAGCTTTCCAAAGGATATTAGCATGTAAGTGAATGTAATGAACATGACTGGAATTTCAACTTGGCTCACTGATGCCTCAATTTGAGTATATATATAATAAATAAAATAAATAAATCAAATAAATTGTATGTCTCAAGAAAGACTAATTTGAACATATTTTTGTATATAATATGCTAACTGTATTTGCCTATTTTTGTTTGTAATATTTGTAACTTTATTTGAATCATTTTAATAAAACTTTTTGTTGATATAGTATTATCTCCTTTGTACTGAGGATGCAGTGTCTTTGTTATGATGATGAAAATGATGAACTGTTTGAAGATGTTTATGAAGCCAGAAGGTGAAAGCATGGAATTTGTGAAAGACCAGAGTACAACAATAAAAACTGAGAAAAAATATAATATCCATGTATGCATGAATGACTATATATATTAATTAAGTGTATTGGAATATAAGTATGTATTTGTATAAATGCAAAATTGAATCAAAGGTATTGCCTTATCAATTGAGCACATTTTTGACATTTCTGTTGGCTTTAAAAATATGTTAAATTCCGGTAATTTTCATGTAATTTCATAGGTGAAAAACTCTAATCATGTTCTTAAATAGCCTTGTCAAATTGAGACTTTCACATTGGCGTTATGCATAGTGCCAAACCTGTTCAGAGATATCTAAACTTTATACAACTACTTTCTCAAATTGTTAAAATGGCTTGTACATTAGCATTACAGAGTCCCAAAGAACAGACACCATATCAGCTGAGGACTTTCAACAATGGCAACAACTAAACTCAAAGAGGAAATAGTGACAAGATGTTGATATTCCAGACTATTTCAAACAAAAGGTTAGGTAGGAAACCCCTATCAGTACTGAAAAGAGCAATAACAGCTGGTGGACTTGAGAAACCTATTTTCCCAAAAAATTGTTTTAAGAGAAAAATTTTATATATTTCAACTGGAAGTAGCACTTGCTGCTTGGTCAATGAATGTTGAATGTTTCCTTATAAGCAAATGGCTAATATTACCATTACCATTGAGAGTTGCAATATACTGCAACATTTGTGAGTTCTACTACTGATAATATTAACATTTTCTTTATTCTGCTATTGAGTCTAACAAAAATGCCTTAAACAGACAAAAAATCACATGAGAAAACCTATTAAATAGTAATGACCTAACAAAATATGCTTTTAATTTTGACAGTACATCTTTTTTGTGAAATCTGAGAGAATTTTTGTAGCAGGATAGAAAGTGGGGAAAGGCTAGCATTTTAACCAACATAATATTTCCAGAAAATTTCTTCACTACTTGCATTATAACTGTTTGCTCAAACCTCTGGTTAGTGACTTACTAAAATCACTTTAACACTAGCCCAGTTGTAAGAACTGAAAACTTGTTTTTTTATACTTTCCATAAATAGTAAAGTGAGAAGATATTTTAATTTTGAGTAAAATTCAAAAAAGAAAATGTTTTAGAAAATTGTAAAAATGAATAACTAAAATTAAAGTTTTTAATATAAAAATTTACCTTAGAATATTTCCAAATCGAGAGAAGATAATTTCTAAATCCTCAGCAGTTGTGATAGGATTCAATTTACAAACAAAGAGAACATTGTCTGGTGGCGCCACTTCTGCATCAGGAAGATCACCAACCTAAGAAATAAAAAAAAACTTTATTTAAATACCATATATTTTGTGCCTTCTATTAAAAATAAATCTAAAATATAATCAATACATATCTTCATTCATTATTTGACAGTAATTTGATTTGACAAATCATTAACAAGTTATAAAAATAAACAAATGTTTTCAAAATTTATAATGTCCATTTTTCTTTGATGTGCTATTTGATCAGATTATGGATCAGTTTCGTGTTTATTGTTATACATTTTCAACTTACATTGAATATAATTTTTTGCCTTCAGAAATAAATTTTGGGAGATGAATGTAATTTTAAATAAAAATAGGTCCTTAAATATAGTTAAAAAAAAGAAAACAGGTTTAAAAAATATCCAGTTGTTAAGCTTTTTGGCAAATATCCTCAGCGCCAAAAGTGTAGAAAGAAAATGGAATGGTAATTCTTAAGCACATAAAAAAATCTGACAGTTTCACCTAAAAAAAGCTTACCATTTCTAAAATTTGTGCATTAGCCTTCTCCTCTTTGTTTTCAGTCATTTCCTTTAGTTCACTTTGCGTCAGGCCCTTTGTATCATCAATTTCCTCATCATCACCAATACGACTACTCTGAAACCATGAAATATTTGCACATTAATGATACCGCAGAGTATATAGTTTGACAACAGGTTAAGATTAATATTGTCTTATTATTCATGTTTCATTTTCTCAGTTTATTCAATGCATTTGGGATTATTTATAAGAAGGATTTGGGGATGAACTTTCATTATCTTCAAATTATATGCACATAGAAGTTCTAAAGATAAACAAATTATTTTAAGGAAAAAAAATCCAATGAATATAATTGGGTGGAAATGGAAACCTGATTGTAATGAAGATATTAACATTGAAACTATTGTTATCTTTAAAAACAGTTTTCAAAATGATGACCCAAATACATCAAAAGTACACAATATGAAATGTTTATGTAAACTTTGTTATATCACAAGTAAGATTCATTAAATAAGTTGAAACTAATTTACTTCAATGATTATATAGTAACAAGTTCTGGCAATAGGAGGGGAAAATAATTACAATTGTATTTTAGTGCTGAGTGCATTTCAAATGATGTATCCATAAGTAAGATTATATATCTTATTAATGCCCACTGACTTTACCAGTACTCTGCCACTAAGTTTTGGTCATATTTTGCATTTCTGGTAGTCAAAAACAACATGACTGTGTGACACTGGCAAACAGAAAGAAATGGGTTATATCAAAAACATAGCTCGGAACAAGACAAGAAGGGTTAATGAATAGAACGATGTACAGACTGAAAGAAGAAAAAGGGATTTCTTTTTATTTCCAAAGTCTATTTCTTTTTAGGGTAGAGATACTTTGAAGGAAAATGATTCTGTTACAAGATATTATCACAAAAGCCATAAGGCAATATTTAGTTGACAGCTGATTAATGAGGCAACTCAAAAAGCACTAGTTACAAAAAACAATATAAGCAGAATAGATAGTTTGATCTGTAACTAAATCAAGGGAATAGGGTTTCTTTGTGTAACCTAGGGTACTTGGAGTGAAATGACCCTAGTGGGATTAGTGGGGTGACTGACCAGAGGAAGTAGCTGGTAAATTTCTGATTTTAAGCAAAACCAGGCTAAGAAATTTCACTGATGTGAAATTTAAAATGATAATTTTAATTAATGACCATAAACCTAGCCATGCCACACATTTGAGAACCAGATTGATTGAAGGTCA